TAAACCTTTTCCCTTTTTTGGTGTAGCTGGTTGAAATGGGATATCATGTGATATAGACTTAAAACCAGTATAATGTTTAATATCCATTTTGATAAAATTAAAACAAATTTAAGAGGTGGAGGCCATAAAACGAAAGAAGAAGAAGAAGAATTAAAACAAATTGATATCTAAGCACTAAGGCCTACGCACACAAAAAATAACTGAGCAAAAACAGAATAAAAATGTAAAATAAAAACAAGAATTACAACGTTACAGAGGTAAAGGTAACCAGAATATAGACGTTTTAAGCGTCTATAACCTTAAATATTTGCTTTAACCATTAAATATTTTCATATAAATTTCTTCTTTTTCTCAATGACCTCTTGCGTAAGTAGTCATCCAGTCGCAAGAACTTATATCTTAAATATTATAATTATAATTATAATGAATAAAATAACAAGGCGTAATTACTTTTACTATTAATTCTGTGTATTCGTTCATTAATCAGTTTACCATCATATTTCAGTTCATTATTTTGTATTTTTAAATAAATATCTATTTTTCTCGTTTTGTTATATTTCATTTACACTGATTTTACCAGAAAAGTACAAGTTTCAAACCGCGAGAGAGCGCTACCGGCGAAACTCACAGCGAATATGCTCATAGCTTCTCCATAGATTCTAACTCGATGGACACAACACATACAGTATAGGTAAAAGTTTATGGTCGGTATGGACCTTACATGAGATGGAGTGAGAAACAACTGTTTAAAAAGAGAGAGATATATTAGGTGTCCGCCTTTTATATCACCGAACATAAATGAGTGGATATGGAGTGGATATAATAAAAAGGGGAAATTCAACGTTGCCAAACTTATTGGTTTTATTTGACCTGTTGTCTTTTTCGCATTTGAACAATGCTCCAAGATAATGAAATTTGGGCGAAATGGATTTAAATGGCAGCTTATTGTTTTTTATTGGGAATATGCCACAATTTTACTTTACAATAAGTGTAATATAACTTTTGATTTATACTTCGGAAATCGTTTTATATAAATAAAATTTATTAATGTTTGGTATTTTAAAAACGATTTCCGAATTAAAAATCTAAACATCAAAATAAGCTTATTTTAAAGTGACATTATGCCTTATTTCCAATAAAAATATTAAACTGCATATAAATAAAAAAGCTTCGTACAAAACTATTTGCCAACGTGGCGTGTCGCGTGGTCAAATCACCGAATCAAAGGGTAAACAGGTATTTACGAATAGAGGTGGGTCATTGACGTCGCAAAACCGATTTTCGTAAACAAGTAACTATGATTTTTTAATAGTAGTTTCAAGTAAGAAACTACCTACATAAACAAACATAATGGCTATTATCGTTTATCTGTATATTTATTGAAGTGAAGGAAACTAATAAAAGATTTTATTATAACTTGAAAACTAAACTAAACAATACAAATAGTAAATCGTACCTACGTTTACATTGCACGTTATTATTAAATCACGAATCGTCTAAATTGACATTTAAAAACATAAGTTTTTTTACTTTACTTCTTATTAATTGTGTTTTTCTTTTATTTAAAATTAAACCTGATTTTGAACATGTGTTCACATTTACAATACTTTATGAATATAGTGGTTAAGTTAGGAGATACATGGCGATGGTTTTTCCACCATTGTAATGGACTCTCGCTACAGGTGTACGTTTAGATGAGTCATGTCCAATTAATTGATCAAAAATACACCATGGACTTAAGTCATCTTTATCGGTTTCTTTTTCTTATACTGGTTGATTTTCAATAGTACAATCTTCTTGTTCTTTAATTATAGAAGTAACCAGCTTCTTAACTCTTTCTTTTGTTTTTTTAGCGTCATTTTTATCAGAAAATCCCTGCACTTTAAATCGTGAATCCATAAACGTACATAATGACAATATGCCACTGTATTCTATCCCTCTAAATCTTTTTGCTAAACCCGAGATTAGTAATTATCCCGTAATTAGTAATAAAAACCCGTAATACGTCGGATACTAACTATGGATGTAAGGTTACTGTTTGCTAAAATTTTATTGCAAGATTTTTGCAGGCAGCGTACCAGAACAATCACTGAACTATCATTCAAGTATTTTTGGCCACTCATTGTACTTGTTATTTCTTTAAAAGGCCGTAAAATTTAGGACAATTACGAAAAAATAATCCAGTCTTCATTATTTAGATTTGGTCTAAGTCTAAGTCTGTATTAACTGATACCAATGTGGAACGGATTGCCTCTTCTAACTCCGTCATTCTTTCTAACATGTAATAGGTGAAGTTCTACCTAGTTTCCACGTCTTGGATTGGCCGTTTGGGATCTTTGTTATGTTGTAATTGATACTTTAAAGGCGTTTCTGAAGATAAGGTACTTTTTTGAAATGTGTTTTTTGCCGAATTGTCGAAAAAAAGACTTTTTATTTTATCTATTTGTACACGACAGCATTTAAGTGCGTCCTCCATCAATAAATTTAACGTATGAGCAAAACAATTTAAATGTTTTCATTCCAAAGCATATTTAATAGCTATGACCATATTTGAGGCATTATCAGTTACTGCAAAATTTACTTTTTGTTTTAGACCCCCTGAATAATAATTTCACTAATTTTAAAAGCGATGTTTTCTTAATTATGGTTTCCAGAAAAATGGCAGCAGTCTAATTAAACCGTGTTAAACTCTAAATTTTCGGTTAAATTCGTTAAAATCAACTAGTTGATGGTTGAAGCTGGTTACTTCTATAAAAAAAAAAGAAAATTATACTATTGAAAATTGACTAGTACAAGAAAAAGAAACTGATAAAGATGACTTAAGTCCATGTAAATGTAAGTACTATTTGTATTGTTTAATTTATTTTTCAAGTTATAATAAATATATTCTTCGTTAGTTTCTTTCACTTTAATACTTATACACATAAACGATAATAGCCAATATGTTTGTATACTCGCTAATTTGAATACTGGTAAACAATCAACTAGTTACAGTTTACGAAAAACGGTTCCGATAAAAATTTAAAAAACTAAAGGACCCACCTCTAGTTTCTTAGCTTTATGAGGATCGGAACCACAGAATATGTAAAATATCTCTGATCGGAACTAATCGTCTCACTAACAGGCAAAATGGGCGTCAAGAAGATTTATGGAGGGGAGACCAAGGGGGAATATGATTGTTATCTTTGTCTATTCGCTGAAAATATGATTTTATATCTGTGTTAGATATCCTGTTAAGTTTTACCATACCGACCATAAAATTTTACCTACACTGTATATGTCAAAAAATTTCGGATACGACAATCAAATATATTCGTACAAAAAAATTTCGTATTTCGTGTCATCGGATATCGGATTTGTGAAAATCCAGCATAATTAAGATTTGTAGTTGTGTTATTAAAACGTTTGTATACTAAATTACTTTTACCTAAAAAATTGTTTAATTGTATGTGATAATTACTTTAATTAACAATTTTTTACAGGTATTATTATTTTACAATAAGTTCTGTTTAGTGAGCCTATTAGTGTTATCACTCCCTAGATATATCACAGAAGTTAACAACACCAATATTTTTTCTTTAAACTTTATAGAAAATGAAACTTTTTCTTAAATGAAATTAAATAAAAATAAAAACTTTTTTATCTAATTTAAAATTAGACATCTACGCTACTGCTCACCGAAGCAGTGGCCAGTCTAACATTGTTGCCATTTTCTAGGATTTGGCTCGCTCTGGGTCCTATAAATTTTCTCACAAAATTACGTGTCGACTATACTACTTGTTATTTAGGAGCTACACAGATTATTTAATTATCGTCTCAGCGATGGAAATAACGGAATTTGTCAAAATATTTGAATATATGAAATATTTGACAAACTATTACCTATTTGGTATCGACTCCTTGGTGTGTCTCATGACCTACCGTAGCACGGTTGTCGATTTCAAATATGCTCACTGTCGCTAAAATTTGAAAGATCGTGTGCTCCGATGACGCATATTACATATTAAATTCTTTAACTTCAACGGTGTATAGATCATGTCGATGATCTTCTTTACACGCATCTAATCCATATCTTTTTCATCAAGTTTACTGATAACTGATCACTTACCTCATATATCACATAATTTTTCCTTTCATTTCATTATTTGCTACTATTATGAATTGACACTTCGTATTCCTTCCTACATATCAGAATTTGTAACCTTCATTTAGCTATTGTCATCTCGGGAGAGTGACTATGAAAATGACTACTCCCCTCGTAGGGTCTGCTAAGAGGGTTCATGTATAGCATACGAAGTATCCCTTGCATTTGTCCTTGTTTAGGTAGGACGATTGATGTATTAAACCAGCACTCTGGATAAAGATAGCTTAAGGCAGCCGCAGAGTCTCAGATGTTAGTATGGGACAGAGCCCCGACAGGAGGCACCCTGGAGTGTATGTTACTCTAGGAAAGGCTGTGAATGACTGTCCTTTGGCTTAAAATCGCTTTAATATTTACACATACTTTTCAAGCAAAGTGACCAATGGGAAATTAAGCAAGGCGGGGCGATGTGCATTAAGTATGCTCATTGGTCGATAGACTGAGGAAGTTGATGACACTATGTTTAATTATATTAACTAACTGGGTTTCGCTAACTCTTATTCTGTTGAAAAAAAATCTTCATTCGAATATTTGATATAATTTTGACAAAGTTTTTATGTAATAAATTTAAGAATGGTATAGAGAGAGTATGTGATAATGGAAATGGGACTGCAAAATAATTGCTGTTACCATTTAGCAATACAACTATTGATAAGACTAATTTATTCTGTAGAAATACTTGATCAATATGCCCTATAAAAATACGGATTGTTCGATGTTGTTGAGCAGATATCTTTTATATATAATTCTCTTGTAACACGCACGAAAATTGCACAACATGCACCATGTTGTTTAAATTTTATAATGTAATATAAATATATTCTCGAATTCACCTTTTTTACAATCATGTTTATTGTAGGTATGGTGTTGGTGTTAGACTTAATTCTGAAAGAAGTGGAGCATACTTGTTTTTACCGGACGGCGATGCTGTTCCTTTGGAAATAGAAAATGTGGTTGTAAATATAATCGAAGGTCCTTTATTTTCGTCTGTTCTGGTTCAACTGCCTTATATTCAACATTCTGCTGTTATATATAACACACAAGGTATTCAACAATTTCCAATGATAACCCTAAAGGTGTATCCTTTAAATATTTTTATATGAAATATAAATTAATAATTAATAATCATTATATTAATATTAACTCTCAGGAGTATACAAATAATTGAATATAAAGATTTTTAAAGAAAATATCTTCAAAAAAGTTTAAAAGGAAAAACTTAAATTATATTAAACTAAGAATAGTACTTTAACAGGCTCATTTTAATGAAAAATAGAAGATAGCTGGATTGATTTGGGGGAGGCCTATGTTTAAAGTTGGATTACTTAAGGCTGAAGAAGAAGAAGAAGGCTCATTTTGATCATACCGCTACGACATTAATGCGTCAAAGTTATCTTATTATACTATAATGTTACTTAGCAATAAATAATTGAAAATTTATTATGCTATGGCTCTAACGAAATCTTTGAAATTAATCACATTTGAGTTAAACTAAAATTTGAACTGATTCATTTAATACTATCCCTAATATCGTAAACTGTAATAGCTGACAAAAAACTAATACTAAAATGTATTTTTGCAAAAGTTTCGGTATGACAATAGAAGTGTTAAAAAATATTTTCCAAACTGTACTAATTGAATACTGAGTACTGAATACCTAACAATGCCCTCAAGATTTTAAAATTTCTATTTTCTGGATCCTTTTTTCGTCCAGTCTCTCTCCCATTAAAATAAAAATGAACTCTGTAATTTCCAGTTATTTAGTCATACCATTATCTACGGTTATTTAAAATTCGCGATTCGAAATAAATTGACGTTTATTCATTTTATCCAATTGTTTGTATAAATATGCAAAATCCCCAGATATGTGTATAAAATATGCATTTTGCCTAAGTCTTGTTATGAGGATATTGGTGCGGGCCACATTTCGTCTAATAAGGTCAATTTTTTTAGGTAAATCTAATTTTGCATGTTTAACTACAAAGCTAATGTGACTTTTGAGGTTGTACTTGACTGAAAGTTTTTTGATGTCTACTTTTAATGTTAAGGATTGAACAAGTCTGCTCACACAAATATGTACTACCAAAGATGGTAATCATCTGCTGAGCAAACTTTTTTAATGCCTTGAAGTTAGAACCCAAACATTTGTAGAAATATAGCAATTTAGCGCTTTCCTTAAATTCCGTTTTGAAAGTGGTATTGTACTATCCATTTACAAATTGCTTGGTACATCAATATAAACTGCAAAATCTGGGTTTTTGAAAATCTCTATGTTAATTAAGAAACCAAAGAAAGTTTTCAATACTTTTAATTAATTCTTGAGAGAAGAGCTACACCCATAATGGAAAACTGCATATATCAGCAGTCTATACAAAAATAAAGGCGACAGAAAAGATTCTAAGAACTACCGAGGACTTAGTGTAACTAACTCAATCTGTAGAGTCTACGGGAAGATAATTAAAAGCCGAATTGAAGATTGTTGGGAAGACGCTAAAGATCAGAGTGGCTTTCGTACTTGTATAGACAATGTGTTCTGCCTAAAAAAAACAATAAAAAAGCGTTTGGAACATAAAATATAAACACACATGGTATTTATTGATCTTCAAAAAGCGTATGACAGTGTCCCATTAGCCAACCTATGGCAAGTGCTAAAAGACAAGAATATTCCACCGATTTACATTAATGCTGTAAGGGAGTTGTACGATGATATGACGAGTGTAATAAAGATTGGACAAAAAGTGACAAAAAAGATAAAAGTGACCAAAGGACTTCGTCAAGGCTGCTGCATTGGACCTACACTCTTTAAAATTTATTTGGAGGGGGTTTTGGATATTTGGAGAAGAAAATGTGAACCTAGGGGTGTTAAAATTGGAGACCATACACTGTACAGCTTGCATTTTGCTGATGACCAAGTAATACTTGCAGAAGATCAAGATGATATCCACTACATGTTACGAAAAATAGATGAAGAATATACTAAGTGGGGCTTATCAATTAATCCATCAAAAACAGAGTACGTAGTAGTGGGAGGTAAAGGAAAGCACTTAGAACTAGGAAGCAAACAAATTCAAAATACTGATAGCTATAAATATCTCGGTGTAAACATTACAAACAATGGTCGGAATACAAAAGAAATAGCTACTAGAGTCAGTCAAGGAAATTCAGCAATACGTCAACTGAATAGTATACTTTGGAATAACCACATCACCCGAAACACAAAAATTCGGATATACAAAAGTATCATAGAAAGCATTGCTACATATGGTTCAGAGCTTTCGGTAATAAATAAAAATGACGCATCCAAAGTAAAAGCAATGGAAATGAATTATTGGAGAAGATGTTGCCAACTCACTAGAAGAGATAGAGTAAGCAATACTGAAATCAGAGAGCGTATGGGCATAGACATTGACATTCTGGAAACTATAGAATGCCAAAGGCTGAAATGGTAGAAAGTTTAAGATTTTCAAACCCAGTTTGAAGTTGTATCAACACATTTTTTTTACTTTCAGTTTCATCTCAAATGACTTTACATCACTTCAAATTAATAATCCTTAAACCTGGGTATGTTCCAGGAACTTCTGGAATATACGGTGTTTAATTTTTTCTTATAAAATTGACAGTAGATATGACCGAGGCCATTAATTCTTTTCAAAGATAAAACTTTGGCGCACAGCGCCTCTTGATGCACAATATAATTAAATATCAAGTCGCAGCTAATCCTGCACCTTCCTGTTTGGCAATAATTCTCCTTACAACATCTTTGTTTTGGGCTTTGGCCGCTCACGTTCTTACTTCCGTCACTAGTAACACTTTTATCCATCTTAATTGTAATAGCTCCAAGGTTTGTTAAACATAACGGATCTTCCCCTGTAGCAGTACCTCTCAAACTGCACATTTCTATAAACTCTTCATAAACGTTTCCACATACACATAAGAAGAACTATATTGAATCTAACACGTCCGTACTTCGTTGATTGCTAGAGAAAAATAAATTAAAAGTATGTGCTTTATCATTTAACTGTTCTTACAAGTTAATGCCAAACTCTTCGGCTCGCTGGATTCAAGTTCTAGTATAGAGACTGACACTTGGTTCATTGTTATCTACCATAACCTTGAAGACGATTTGTATAGTTAAAGTTTCAGTGTAGTTAAAGTACAGTGTAAATGTCAAACTACCGTGAGATGCAGCAATTTAATTCTTAAATAATCTACAAAAAGAACAATACAATTCCTTTGTTATTCGTTATGATATAGGCTAATATACAATAACAAGTGCAATCATTAGGTAATCAATTTATTGGTCATTAATTATAGAAAAGATAAGACAAGAATTTTAAATGTTTTAATGTATTAATATATTTTAGGGGCTGACGGTTTGGGAATAGAACTTCATAACTTAGTAGATATCACGAAAACGAATAATTTCGAAATAGTGATGCGGCTGTCAACAAATATTAATAATACAGACGAGTTTTTCACCGATGATAATGGTTTACAGGTAACCGTTCCTTTGTTATTAAAATTTTGTTTATTTCCTTATAATAAATTAAAGGAATAAGTTAAAGACAGATACTTGTGCACACATTTGTGTACATAATTTGCAAGTGTTTTTTCTCAAAACCAACGCTTTTCTATGTAGATAGATTATCACAATAAATAAATTTAAATATTTAAAAGAAATTGTTCAAATTTTCTTATAGAGATTACATAGAAACAGTAAAAATTATTGTAATGAATGAAGTAAGTTTAAAATAGAGATAAATTTTATATCAACCATACGCTCTTACTAATATATTTCTTGTAGATTTTAAAACGAAGACGATTTAAGAAACTTCCACTGCAAGCTAATTATTATCCAATACCAACAATGGCCTACATTGAAGATGAATATACTAGACTCACAGTCACTACCAGCACCCCATTAGGTTGTAGCTCTTTATCACCTGGTCAGATTGAAGTTATGTTAGACCGTAGATTAAATCAAGATGACAATTTAGGATTAGGTCAAGGAGTAATGGATAATGCTCCTACTAGGCATATTTTTAGACTACTTCTAGAACAAAAAAATAGTAACTGCCAAGTAAGTTCAGTAAAATAGTGTAATTAATTTTAAGTTTGTGCTTTTATAGAGTAGTTACGAAGATTATATTAACATATTTTTTTTGACTGATTCGAAGATTATATTAACATATAATTGCTTTTTGCTGGTTCGGTAAAAAGTTTCATAATGCCATCTTAATCCCGTACTTAAATTTGCCTTTCAGCATTAATATTGGCGTTTCTGCTTATTATGAGTCAAAGCTTTCATTAAAACTATTCTACATTTCCTCCTTTTCTGGATATCTGATGGATTTACTCTTTTCCATTCATAATTCCAATATATATTATATCATCCTTTAAGTTGTCCAAGTACCCAAGTTTCGGTCTACCTATGGTCCTTTCTGCCAAAAACTTATCAATAATGTACTTTTGATAGCAATAACTATGGAAGAACTAAGAATAATGAAAAAACGTCGCCAGAAAAAGGACTGAAAATTAATTAAAAAAAAAATGACCAATACAGAAGACATATCAGTAATTACCATAGGCGGAACAAACATGTAACACGTTCAAAAATACATTTACTTTGGAGGGGTGGGCGGTAGTTGGAAGACTTTCATTTACTATAAAAAAATACCTTTAAAATTAAGAATAGTGTCCCCAAGGTGAGCGTCTGTCAATCTTGATCGATATTTATTTTTTAAAAAAATTCATTTTTGAAAACGATGTTTGACTAAGAAAGGTGAAGCTAAACATAGTAGCAAGGTAAATGGCCAATTTCTTGCAGTTTTAATATTTCTCTGGAATATATTTACTCCAAAATTCTTGAATAGATGCAGATTATGCATTTGCAACAAAATGTCTTCCTGCAAGTCTATAATCTCCATTTGGAGCAAGGTCTTTAAAATGCTGACAACTTTTCTACCTCTGCAAAGTTTTCAAATCTTTCTGCGAATTCCTTTTTAAGACCTTCAAAGAAATCTAAAAATATTGAAACATATATTTCTGATTAAGAATTATTCTTTTGTTAAGGGTTGTTGTAAAGTGAATTAGTTCTTGACTTGTAATGTCGTTTTCAAAAATATTTTGCGACGGAACGAGGACACACTTTGTATCAGATCACCTATTAATTTCTTATTTCCTTGTAGTTTGGTACTGAGCAAATTTAAGCGTTGCAAAATGTCTTTTTCAGGAAAGCCACAGCCCACATACTTCTTTCGTTTGACAGGAACTCCAAATGCTTTATTGCTTCTTGGATATGCAAGTTTTCTAAGAAGGCAGCTATTTTTTGTTTTGTTTGCCAAAGACGGTCAATCACTTGACCTTTACTTAGCCAACGAACATTGTTGTGTTAAAGTAAGTCAGAATGCGTTGAAATACACTAAGAAAAACTTTGAACTGCCTGTACTGAAGAGCAGAATAACACCTTGTAAAATTAATCAACTTGATTAAATTGTTCATTACCCCTTTCAGAATGACATTAAGTTTCCCACATAGGGCTGACTGTGAATTATGCATTAATAAAAGTATAGCCCAGCATTATTTTTTTTATTCGCTCTACAAGCCCTCTTTCTTTGCCGACCATAGTTGGTACCTGCAGCTATGATCGGCTAGTTGATTTTGTCATGAACTCATCAAAAGTCTGAAATAAATCTTCTCCACGAGTCTTGTCAGTAAACGGCAAGACTGCAAGCAATTTTTCCCTAAATATTGTATTTTCAATATAAAATGTTACGAAAATAGACATTTGTTCGTCGTCAACAATATCACATGACTCATCAAGTGCTATCACGTTTTATAAAAGTTCGAGCAAAGCCTTTTTATTGTCTGCAGCCAATATTTCGGTTCTTCTTGCTTTTTGCCGACAATGGAAAACAAATAATGATAAACAAATAAAATAAATAATGTATGCTACTGTACTTGCGTACAATAGCATACATTATTTAACATTTCAGAGCCTGAAAATGGCTTCTGTTGTTTATTGAGCGTCTAACACACACGCAAAACTGCGTCTGCAGATTTTTTTACTCGCTCATACTTTGAAGTAGTATGGATGTGCTTTTTTTGTAGAAAGTTAGATATGTTTTGAGGTTTTCTTTTTTTTCTATGGAAGCTTTGCTTTGTAGAGGAAACTTTTGATAAAACTGTTGATGGGTCGTTTCACAATGTCTCTTTAAATTAGTACGTTTAATATGAGCGACAGTTTTATTGCATAGTAGGCAAACTGAAACAGCGCAGGTTTGTCAGGAAGCGTAAAAAAAACTGATTAGTGCATTCATTTAAAAACTTCCCATTTTCACAATCAACTTAACACTTTTTACGATCCATATCGATAAAAAAACTACACTACAACACTCACTTGCTCTCAGCTCTACTACGTAACTACGACTGGACTGCTGGCTAATGTCGTCGAGGTAGTAGTGTTGCCAACTCTACGCGTGGATACCCAATATAAGCGAAGGCGGTATTGCCAACTCTACGGTTACAATCAAACGTAGGAAAAGGCTTTTAAAAATCATATTTAAAATTTATGTGATTGAAATATTAAAATATTTTTGGCGGTCCAGTTTTCGACCTTCTGCGGTCCGGATTCGGACCGCGGTCCGCCAGTTGCCGACCGTTGCGCTATTTTGTAATAAGTTTTATTATGTTCTTTTGTATACATTTATTTTAATTAGATCTACAAATAGTTTCGTAATAAAAAAAAATAAATTTTACCTAGTAAGCCATGATTGTTTCCTATTCATTGATTTTAATATACAGTATGTTGTTACACTTTCATAATATCAAAAGTATACATTAATGTTACCCTGACAGTGAGGATGTTATTGTTCCCATCATGTTTTATTTCACGGAAGAAAACATTATATATATTGAATTTATTATTTTTTAAATCTTTTAGACAACTGCAAAAACGCATCCAGCCGGTTTTCCAACTTTGACAGCATACATGGCATCGCAATCTTTGTTAAACCCAATGATTAGGCTTCTTCAAGCGAATGATGACGATACAGTATCAAAAAGTTATTACGTTCCTATGGAAGACTTCGGTGTAGATTATGCTATGCCTTTACTTAAGTCTAATGTAACAACACCCAGAGGCAATTCAGATATTGGAATAGTGTTACATAGACAATTCTTGGATCTTTGTTTTGGTGACAGAGAGTTATTAGAACAATTTCCTTTGAGTGATGGACGGGTATGCATTTGTTAAGTAATAATGTTAAATTTTTATTACATTTCGATTGTTTTGTTACTTACTTTTTACAAAATACAATTAAAATCTTCATAATTAATACATAATTTTTAACCGTACTATAATTTGCAGGTTTCTATTGATGGACTCGTTCCCGCAGGCAGACTAAAGAATATATCGCAAGCATCTCTATCATTCCTACAGCTAAATCGTGATGTAAAAGTAGAAAATCCAATTAATATATGTCCGATGGAAATGAAAGCGTTTGTTGTGTGAAATGAATGATTGTGTGTTTGATTAGTCAATTTTTTTATTGTTGCAATATATTATTGAGATTAATAGAAAACAGAAATTTTCTACGCGTCGTAAAACATATATATTTTTTGATTATGGTTGTTTGTGTTTCTTCATAAATTTTATTTTTACAAATACCTGAATTAGCGACACTAATTTTAACAGTTAAATGTAGTGATACTTTTTTTTATTCACAAAACAATATGTTATGTATTGAGAGATTTTTAAATATCCTTGTATTTTGTTAAAAACTGACGACATATTTATGGGCACCTTTAATACAATTTTTTTGTTTGTATCGTCATTAATATTTTAAACTATTTTCGAAACTTTGTCCTATTTTTCTTTCCAACTTGTCACAAAAGAAGTCGTGATTTTTTTAATCAGCTATATTCTAAGTTTTATTCGATTTGTACTTACATCCAGTGGTGAGAGTTGTGCATAAAAAATGTAATATAAATACATGTCGTAGATGTGCATACAGAAAATACAAGAAGTGCACTTATAGCAGATATACTTTATAGCGCAGCAATTCTTGAATATTTTATGATACCCAAAGTCGGGTCCATCGATATTTCGTCCGTCGGCAAATTCAAACAGATAATATTTGTATATTATGAAATTCGAGTAACCGATGTCCAGGGACGTCTCGCGATATTGGTTGTTTCACCGACACAAATTTTTTGATGCAAGTATTAAATCATAAAATAACAATGTGTAATCTTATTTTGGAAAAACAAACACAACGTTATATTTCTTTGTTTTTAAATGGTTAAAAGTAAAACTTAAAAAAATTATCATCCTACCACCCTGTCGGAAAAAATACTAGGTGATACAACGGCATCTTCTATAGGGCTTTTTAACGCTTCTCATTTGTTTTAGGCACTTGTTTTATGTCATACAATTTTAATACAGTGAAACCTGGATAATTCGAAACTCACGGGACCATTAAAAAAAATCGAATTATTAAAAAATTCGAATTAAAAATATATCTACATAAAAATCAACACTTTTGCAGATGTTTTCGATTCTATTCTTGCCCGAATTTTGTCAACCGGAAAAAATGGACAAACAAAATTCGGCCAAGAATACAAGTTAAAACATTTGCGAGCTATATAAATTGTCATTATGACAGGTGTTTTCATTGGTATTCTCGGCCAATCTTCCGACAATATGTTTTCAACCAAAAAACGTCTGTTTTTGGCGATTTTTTATGATGCCCTGGTCCATAGGCCGGAGAACTGAAGTCATGTTGGCACGAAAAAAATTTGTTTTTCATTTACATTTACATTTTTCATTAGTGGGGTAGTGTTGTAGGCTGTACAGTTGCCAATAAACAAACTAACTTTTCTTTTTTCTTTATGAACATTTTGTCTAATTCCACCAGCCATTTCTCGAAAAGATCCCTAGCCATCAAAGCTCTTGCACTGCTCACATATTCTACTGGTTTTGACTTGATGTTCTTAAAACAACGCAGATTAGCCGACTTACCGATCATCAGCAGAGGCAGCACTTCTGATCCGTCCATTTTTGCACCAATTAGGAGAGTGACTCTGTCTTTACTTAGTTTTCCTCCGTGACATTTTTCATTTTTAAAGGAGTGCCTTTAAAAAAAGAGTCGTGTCGTCAACATTGAAGATATCTCTTTTATCTATATCCTGAATCAACTCATCCAATTGTTCCATTCGTTGGCTTCTTCCTGATTAGCGGCTTCACAAATGGATTTGAATGAAATTTTGTTGCTTTCTTTGAAGCCATCTAGCCACCCTGTACTTGCCTTAAAGTTGTTTTTCCAAATTTTAACAACGAATTGTTCAGCTTTACTTCTTATAAGGGGACCACTTCGGGAATCTCCTTATGCCTGGCTCTTTCGAACCATTTTAAAACATATTTGGATTTTCTGGCTCCCTTAACAATTTTCGTTCTTTACCGCACTCACTTTCACTCTTGAGATTTTTTTATTTATTCTTTAACTAGATATATCCACCTACTTAAAGAAGTAGGTGTGAATTATCATGAGTTAGAAGGAATTATACAGGGAATTCTACTATTCTAATTCTAGAATTCTACAGTCAAGACTGGCCAATCTTAGGAAATGGACTGGTCTAACGTCAACTGATCTATTTCGAGCTGCTGTGAATAGAATAAGATGGGTCAATGTGGTCGCCAACATCTCTAGAAGATAGGGACATTTAGAAGAAGGAGGAATTCCAAATTCCTTGACAGTCTCAGATTATTTTCTTTGTCCCATTTTCTACTTCTTTAATTGCCGCTATTTTTCCGATAACGTCAAAGTTTTGTATGTTCGAGGTTTACTGAAGGGGCGTGCCGGGTGGCTAGGAATTTATGGCCAGTACAATGCACACTGGTCTTGAATGTCTTGAAACAAGTGTCGCGTGAGGACAGGAAAGAATACTACCTCTTTTCGCGGAAATTTCCAGCATGAAATTGGCATTTTTGCTTGTAGAGAAGTTCGAATTGTCCAAAATTTAATTCGAATTATTCAAGACTTTTTACCATTACTTATATAGGACATGCTAGGGACCAGAATAAAAATTCGAATTAAAGAAGATTTCGAATTAGAGAAGTTCGAATTCGCGAGTTCCACTGTATATCTACGTCACACGTCTATATATCTACTATATACCAATAACGTATGACATAGATATATTAAAATTATACGACATATGACAAGTGCCTGAAACATATGAGAAGCGTTGAAAAGCCCTATTAGCATTTAACGATGACGTACATAAACGAAACTGTAGAAAAGTATTTTACATTTAAGAAAATATTGTTTTAAACAAAGTTAGCAATTTATAATGAAAAACTGCAAAAAATATTTCTCCTGCAGGCGAGCTCTCATCATCGTCACTATCCACCACATTAATAATAAGTTGTCCACTGTTTGAAAATAATTGTCCTAGTCTTCTGTACCCATTTTCTACTTTCACTACATGGTTTACTGCTTTTTTTCCAGTCGGCACTAGTAGTCTCTGATAGTTCATATCGAATTAAATCGACCACTTTCGCGTCAAATTTTGGAAAACTATTTTTCCTCCAAATCCATTATTTCATCCAAGAACCTTTCTTCGGAGGTACTATTTCAATTGGCACCAAAGTGAACTATCAATCCAACCCTTACTAGCACTATCATGCGTGTCATACCACGTCTCGTCTAAATAATGTATAGTCCGCTGTTGATCTCGATTTCTTGAATTTTTTTAAAAATAATCTAAACGTCAGTGTACTATCCTCCGACTTTCCATAATAGCCACCCGTTTATCAACGATTTTGTATTTGAATCCAAGTTTTTTCAGCTTTCTACGTAAAGTAGTTTTAGGGCAGCTTCTTTCTATCGCAACAAGCTTGGTGTATATAATATCAATTGTTGGTATTTCATTTTTTTTGTATTCCTCGTAATCCAAATTTCTTAAACGTTTAGCAGTCACGATATTAATTTGTTTAGGTTTTCCAGCATCCGATCTTATTTTTCTTTTTTTAACACCACTTTTCACGATTTCGCGTATGGTAGAATACGGAATTGCTATTAGATAGGCTGCTCTTCTTATAATACTGACTTTACAACTATTTTCAGCATCATTTTGAAGATTTTTGTAAACGTTCATACAAATTCTCTTAGATTGTTCATTCAAAACAATCTTTTTCTTTGTAGTCTTAAACACTTTTGTACAGTTAGTCTCAGTGTCATTATTTTTTGTATCACTTCTACTTAAAAGATTGTTGACTACCACTTTCTCTACTACTACTTGTGTTCTTTTGCTACCATGTACGAAAAACTGTAGGTGATTTTTCTCATGATCTTAACATTTTCTTTGCACACAAATAGACAGTTTCGAAAAAACAAATAAAAGAAAAATACTACAATTATTATAACTACTCACAACACAATTTCAACACAACTCAAAATTAAAGCAATGCACAATGCACATCTATCTATAAACAAGCTAGTTGCTACAATTAAACTAAAAATTTGCAAGTACAGTCCTTTAGATAAGGCACATGCCGGTATTTTCACAACCGGATTACTCATCGTAAATCAATCAGATTTAAACTTGATACTTGGGCATTAGTACAGTTACGTAACAGTTAAAATCGTTAGACGATATTTAGACGAAATATTAAGCAATATAATTGAAACTTTTCTCTACTTTTAAGGACAAAAAAGCAAGTTCATTAGCGGAACGTAATTCAAAATTATTCTGCACATTATATTTGAAGCATTATTTGGTTAAAACATCTCATTTTTGGTCGTAAAAAATATATTAAATGCATATATTAATTTGTCTGGACTAAAGGTGGTAAAAGATGGTCTGGAAGTTATATTTTTGTTTAAATTTGCCGACGGACGATAGGTAGATGGCGTTAACTTTACCATAGTTAATAGACAGAGAGCTGGTAGACATTTTTTAGAAAGTATGTGTAATTTCTTATTTTCAAAAAATATATTCGAAGCAAGTTAAAATTTAGACAGAATAATATTTAAAAATAAAAAAGCTAATCCGAGAGAGTTTGCTATGAATAGGTTAAAGTGTGAGAGAGAACATGTTGACCGGCTTAATTGAAGCGTACCACAAAACGATTGGCTTCGTTAGATTTAGTTCGTTAGATAGTAAAACAACACAACTTAAAGCAAGCGTGCAAATTAAAAAAATGACTGAGTCACTTACTGGGATACAACTGTTATTATGATCATTTATTGATGCATTAATATAAACAATTTATAGTAAAATAATTAGTTTTATTGGAAAACTCTTACGGAAGGGCTGTGCGGTGTTATCTATTCAAAAACTTTCACCCAAGTATACTGACACTATATTTAACTAAAAAACACATCATGTTCAATAGTTCCTCATTGTTGCACAGTTTTTGTCACATGGTTTTGAGTGATAGCGTATATCCTCAGATATCTGCATATTCATAGTAATATCCCTTACTATTTGAGATCACCTAATGGGTTAGAGGTCGTTCACCCACTCGATAGAAGAGTTAAAGTGTAGAAAGTAAGTGGCAAGATATTCT